ATTCTTAATATAGAAATCTTATACATGTTGTTAACAACTTGTAATAATAATTTATTAAAAAAAATAAAAATAGATCTACTCAATAATGCATCAAGCCAGATTTTTCCTATAACAGTACTAATGATTATTACATTAAGATGGAAAAATTACTATATCAAAATTACTGATATATACTAGTTAGTTGCCTGCTTCTTTAACTATAACTAGATATACTGTTTAGCTTATAGCTATTATTTAAGAGCCCTATTAGTAGACAAACCAAATTATAACAAGTCTATAAAGACAAGTAAAATTAAGGCCTAAACTAAAATCTATCAATTGTTCAAAGCTATTGGCTATAAACAAATATATTAAACAAAAAAACTAATTTTAAAACATATTGGTAATATGAGTGAAGCCAAGTTTAATCAATTAGTTGACTTTTATAAATAGTACAAAAGTTGTAAGAATTTTGTAAAACAAAATTCTTAAGAGAAAAAAAATGTTACAAATTAAATTTTAAAATAGTATATTATATACTAGTATTAGTAGTTATATATATATTCAATATAGAGTATGGCAACCTAGTAAAGTAGATAGGTTGTTAACTCCCAAGTAGCAGGTCTAGAGTTCAAATCCTAATAATAACAAAAATTTGCAATTCTTTTTATATTATGATTAACTGTCTTTCATGATTGGTTGAGATAAGATACTTGTAACCTGTATCATATCAGCATGACTGAAAGGTCTAGACATTTGTGCAATATTGTATAAAGAAACAAACTGATACCAAGAGGTGTAAACCCAAGATAAGTCTTTAGATCATGTAAATCATAGGAACCAGATAAGAAAACAGAAAATCTAAGTAGAAAGGTAACCTGAACCTTTAACAGTTCTACTGTAAAGACTAAATCTATAAAATAAAGCTAAAACTTGTGAAACTAGACAAAGAGCTAGTCTTTGAGGCAGAGCTGAATGAAATCAACCAGGCTGCTGAGATTTGTTCTGAAGAAAAAGGTTACATGCTGGCAAACATGTAAATCAGAGGTGTATGGTTATGATCTGCCTTTTTGGACTAACTAGTTTGAGAGCTTGATAAAACTTGAATTAAATACCAAAGTAGTAGGAATATGTTATGAAGTTAGTACTGAGATTAAAATGAACTCTACAAGAGTATAGTAGTTTAATGGTATGCCCTAACTATCAGTATTGATCTTGGCTATAGTAATACTGGATTAGCTATAAAAATAGAATACAGAAGATTCTGAAAGGTTTAGTACAAGATCAAAGGTTCCTCATATGAATAAACTGCTTTAAAAACTTAGTAGTTATGATATATTTTACTAGCATTGGCCAGGATCATTGGTAGGCAGAGATAGGTAGGTGGATACAGAAACTAGAATGGTTAAATAGGAAATTTACAGACAGATTTCATGTATGACAACTAATGTAAAACCTTCAGATGGACTACTTAAATTAGACAATAACTAAAATTATACAAATAGTTAGTTGTACACTCTTTCTATAATTGCCCTCTGTGGTTGTAATGCAACCATTAGCCAAATATACTATCAATAAAATTCTGGGTTATAAGTACTCACTTTAATATTTAAAAATATATATATATATATTTAATATTGTATTTTATATATTATATTATATTTATTATTTGTTATTAGTTAATTGATAGTTATATTATATAGAAGATAAATAAAAGAATCTTAATTGGCTATTAGAAATATGATACAACTACATAACACTAAGTAACATCTATAATGTTACTATTGTCTTACAAACTCCAAGTACTCCTATACAAGTTTTATGTATTCTAATATCAAATTATTGTGCCAAGTATTATAGTACAAGAATCCCAAATGTCTTCACACAAACTTCAAATATCTCTACACAAATCCCAAGTGCCTTTGCATAGATCCAAGTGCCTAAACATAAGTTTTAAGTGTTTTAAGCACAAATGATAAATAATATAAACTATATTTTTAGTTGTCTCTGTACAATCTCTACTACTCTAAGCATAGTATTATTTAATGTTGTTCGAACTTCTACTGTTTTAAGTACAATGATATTTAATATTATTTAAATCTTTATTATTCCAAAAACAATGATATCTAATATTGTTTAACCCTTTATTGCTCTAAGTACAGTATCAAGTAATGTTGCTCAAATCTTCACTATTCCTATTAGATAAAAAGATATATAAAAAATATCTTTTATTCTTTTTTGCCAATTCCAAGTTCTTATACTTTAACCTAAATATAATGACCTTTTAATTATAAAATGTGATATTCTCTTATTAGGATAATTCTTAGAGGCAAAATTGTTATTATATGTTTATTTAATAAAATTAATCTATATACTGTTATTATTTTGAACTATTTGCTTGCTACTGTGTAGTAAAGTAAACTATTATATCTCTACTCTATATATATTTGCAATAGTCATCACTATACCAGATAATCTTGTTATTTGGTTGTATTGTATCAAGAAAGCTACAATCTTGTAACAATATAACTTTAGTATAAAACTTTAGAATATCAGTTTAGGTTACAGATAAAACTGTCTGAGCTTTAATTCTTATATGTAGTTTTTATTTTGTAGTTTACAATCTTAATATATCTTAATATATAGTATATTAATATGTATAATTAAAATTACTAATAAAAATATAAACAAGGTCTTACTTTAATATCAAAAAAAAAAATAGAACTTTAGAATGAACTACTTAAATAAACAACTAAAAGTTGCACATATAACTAGTTGTACTCTCTTCTCTGTAAAAAATAATGTAAACTAACTCAATAAAAGTTCATTGTAAAATATGTCTTTTAATAAAAAAAAAAAATTGCATATTTGATTAGTTGTATACTTATCTTATACAAGTTATATAATTATAATTAAAAATATAATAAAGATAATAATTACTATTAATATTAATCTTAAGGATGTAGGTCTTATAGCTTAGCAGTTAAGCTTTTATATTCTTTACAGTTAAGGTCAATGGTTCAAGTTTGGTTGAAGACAAAATTAAAAGATTTTAGCTTTTGTAATCTAATAAGAAACCTGTAATTGAATGCGAAGTCCTGTGGCTAAGTCCAAGTGCAGTACAATATTAAAAATAGAAATTCCTGAAAAGAGATCTAATTATAAAGTGCAAGCATTATGTAACAAGTAGTTATTACAGAAAGTTAAAATTATGAAAAAATTATATATGTAAGTCTGTTAGATTAAAGCAGCATCAATATCTTTATATCTTTTAATATAGGCAGTATCAACATTTTTGTACCCAATTTGAGAAATATTTGTTTAGAAGAATAATCAACAAATTATACAAATAAGATCTAATTGAAATCTAAGAAGAGGATTTGATTGGTAGAATAGTCTGAAAGTAACCAAAACTGAAATAATAAAAGAAGTAGTAAACATAAGAATAGGCTGTAATAAAAGATTGGTTTAACCAAAATTAAAAACATTTCTAATATAGCTAAATAATCTAATTATAGAAAGAAAAAATTTTGAAGGTTGGTATATAACATTCTTGTACAATATAAAGGTACCAAATCAGATTCTGATTATATTTATATAAAAGTCTATAACAACAAAACTGAGATCAACTAACCAATATGAGATAATAACTACAAGGTAGCATAACATCACTGAGATTAGTGTAACTCTCTAAACATAATCAAAATTGTTTTGCAAATATTATTAAATAAGCTGAGAGCTTGCAATATATAGTAATATGGTATCACTAGGGTTGGAAGAACTTCCTAAATATAACCAGAATTGTTCTGTTTATAAGTGTAACAAGTCTTAGTCTTATTATAGAAGAGAACATTATATTAAAAGTTAAATGGAATATTGAGTTACTATATAATGTTAAGATCTGTAGTATCTGTAGAAACAGCAATAGTAAATCTAACTTGAAATACAGATTGGTCAAAAAAACCAATAACAATATGTCTAACTTGAGATACAGGTTTATTGCAGATTCTGAACCATTATCAGAATACTTTAAGAAAATCAATAACAGACATATTAAAGATAGAAGATTATAAGGATCAGACATACCCAAGTAGAATCAATTTGAAAATAATACAGTAACAAAAAAGTGAGAAATGTAAGAAACAAGGTAATACTAGATATAATTAAATTAGAAGAAGAAGAAACAAGACTAGATAAAACATATGAATAGAACACAAGTATGATTTATAGAAAACAGTACCTCTGACATTTGAGATGCTGTATTAAGTTCGATAGGTATTCTTATTTGTGTAATAGTTTAAGAATGTGTCTTGATCACAAGTAATTGCCAAGATAACTGTATGCAAACATGCAGTGAACATGCACTTAGATGCCATAAGAGTAACTAAGTGAAGTTAGTGATGTAAAATTAAATAATATATAGTACTAGTAATAAACCAACTGACATTGTCACCAAAGTTAAAAATATAATAAAAAAAAATAATATTGACCTTAAAGAAAGTAAAAAAAAATAAATAAATTCTTTTTATATAAGAAAACTCTTGAAGATTTCTATGTTCATAATAAAATTGCTTTTTGAAAACAGAAACTTTAATATAAAAAAAATTTTTTTTGAATTCTTAGTAGTCTTAAAAATGATAATTCACTAATCTGTTAAATATAATGTATCTTTTATTAATAATAGTTTAATGATAAGTTTCTTGTTGCCCAAAAGAACATTTCTAATCTTGATAAGAAGATAAGATCTTGTGTTAGTTGGAATATAGTTTAGGAAATCTGCGCCACAAACTGGCACACTCAGTTAACAAAAAATTTTTATCTCAGAGAAAACTTTTTGCTAAAGCATTAAGGGTGGTTTGTCATGCTGCTTTTTGAAAAATAAACGATTTTTGGCAAAACGAACGTTTGTTTTGAAAATCTCTGATCGTGTTTACTTCATACTGTGGTCCTGAAATCTGATTTGCAGATTAGGAATCCGAATAACATTAAGTATAATCACACTCGGAACAAAAGAAAAAAAGATGCCAGCCTGTCCTATTTGTAAAAGCAGAAAATGGTTTAGTGACGGATTAGGAGGATTGGTTTGCCAATTTGGGCACCAAAGGGAGGTATATATATATATACATTTTCTTTTTAACAGCTCTTTTGTTTGCGCCAGTATAAAACCTTTACTAATTTAATGACTGATTTTAACCTTGCTTAAAAAAGGGATTTCAAGAACAAGAGAGTGAGGTAAACTCTATCTCAGTTGTAGGTAAAAAGCGACGTGGTCGCTCTAAAAAGACGTCAAGTACGTTAAATAAATAATTTTATTAAAAGAAAAAACTTTTCGCGACTTTAATTAAAATGTTAAATTAACAATTGAAGACGAATACTATGCGTATCAAAACCGCACTGAGTATGCTCAAGTACTTTTGACTGTAGCTCAATGGGTACTGAGGAGACAATTATATGTTTTAATACACGAGATGGGATTTGTACCACAAATTGAGGTTCGTCTTCTTCATTCTTCAAGTACCATGGTACATGTGACACCGCTTAAAGGTCGTTTCTAAAAACAGCAAGTAGTTCAACATCTATGGATTCTCTATGTAAACAAAATATGTGAACTAGATCTTGATGCGACGGACATTAATCATGACGTTTCTGAAGGTTCCTCATCAGCACTACAGGAATTTGATGATAATTTGGAATTCTTGATAGATATTCCACAAGATTCTGATTCCGATGGTAAGGGTGGTGGTCATCAAAAGAGTAGTGGTAACGAATTTTCTGACATCAATAGTTCAGCAAAAAAAATGAAATATAATGCTTTACCATGTCGATTATCAAATATGAGTTTAAGCTTTGTGATGGTTATTATATATCTTGGATGTTTCTGGTTAAGAATTCCTATACTAAAGGGTGATATTGTCCGGTAAGCTTGTATAATAAACTTTTCATGATCTACGATCTTCATAATGATTATAATGATTCATTTTAGTTGGGCTTCTACCGGTCGCTTATCAGATTTGGTAATTCGTCAAGAATTACCTAATGATATGAAATTACATCTGGGTCCTCATTTTGTTAAGAAGTTCTTTGAAAAAGAGGTTGTTATCAAAATTTTAAAGATATTACAAAAATCATCCTTAATAAAACACATTGTCGGTTATATTTTTATAGCGACATCAATCATGGCATTTCTTAACTTCCTTAGAATTCGATTTTATCGCATTCTATAAAAATTTTTACGGAATAACTTTTCCTGAGATTAATGCACCACCTATACTTTATCGATACATCAGAGATTTTATGCTACCAGGTAATTTATTCGCGTCAAATATTCAAAATCACTAAAATAACATTCTGACTTGTAGTCTTATCTATAGTTGAAACATACGTTATCTCTAGAGAATTAGCGCAGTTAATCAATTTGGATCTTGAGATAAATCGAAATCCTTCTCTTTCATTGTTGGCTATAATAATCGTGATAATAAAAATGATATATGGATTGGATGGAAAGAAAAGGTATCATAATAACTGAGATTTCTTTCGCTTAATGAAATTTCAAATTTTGCCTTTTAATTTGTCGAAAATATTTGTATACAGGGTACCGAATGATAAAGATGAGTTTTTTCGGTACTTTCCTAAATTTGAAGATTGGATAAAAAAATTGAGCGAAAGGCAAGAAAAACTTTTTTCAAAAGAAATTCCTTTAGACTTGAGGTTTGCATTATGATTTCCTGGTAATAATTTCATTCCTTATTGCGGACATTAAATTAACTTGCTAAACTCAAATATTTATTAAAAGCGATTTGAAAGAATGGATTGATAGCAATCCGGATAAATATATAAAACATTGTTCTGATACGTTGGTTGGAAGAAAGCGATGGCCACAAAAACCTAAAGATACACAGAATTCTGCCCACATAAATCGAGAGAAACGGATTGAAGGTAATCTTATTTTTTGTTTTTTATTTATTTTTTAGGATTTTCAATAACTTACACAATTTAATAAACAATCTTAAGAAATGGAACAATTATCTAAACCATTTCGTGAACTTTCGGAGACTATTGTACCAGTAATTGAAGATCAAATACGCGAAGAAAAATTAAAAAATTTTCTAGATACAACTGGGAACAAATTAGGAACTATTTCACAGACCTTTACAGTGCAGGAGTTTTATAAAATGCAAAGGAAGAAAGAACGTGACGAAAATATTATCAAAAATTTCAAAAATAGTATCAATGATTTTATTGAACCGATTGAAAAGGAAATTCAAGATTTAAATTTTTGTGTTGAAGATCCGGACAAACAAACTTCAGCTTCAGAATCTTGTTTATTTTCAGAAGATCCTTTGAGCAATTTACGCAACAGATATTCAACATTTCATTATAGGAATGAGAATAATAGCGATGAACCGAATCTTACATTTGGAGAAAAATATACTGCGTATCAAATATTTCAAAATCGCTCAGAGTATGCTTTCTTTAAAAATGTTGAGCTAACTGGAAGTTTTCACGAAGATTATGAAAGGATTTTAGTTTTTGCATCAAAGATGGTTAATGTCACAATGCACGACGTGCAACAAGCAGTGATGAAAATTGAGGTTGATTTATATAGAATTATCGAAAGTGAAAATTTATAATTATTAAGCTACTAATAATTGCAATGGATATTTTAGTTAAATTCAATAATTAAAATCCTATCAAGTTAAATTCACTTCTGATATTATTGATTAATATAAATATGTATACGGTATACACTATATACAGTTACTGGACAGCAAAAGATATTTTATTTATTCTATTTTTCTGGCTTAACAAAAAAAATAATACAGGTCACTCTCGTTTATATCAACCTATTTTGAACTGATTTTAAAATTATGTTGACAGTGATATTAAAATGAGAAATCATATTAAAGTATATGAGGGAATTTTGATATATAAATATTTATAAAAATTTGTCTTGTGGTTTAGGTTGATATTAACGGGGTTGACATTAACGAGGGTCATTTGTATAACTTAACAATAAATTTTAAATGTCAAAATGCAAAATATTATGGTTAGTAGATTTTGAATTTTAGAGATTTTGCATGTTTGGGATTTTAATATTTCAAGATTTTAGTATTTAGAAATTTGTGCAATTGTAATGCATTATGAAATCAGCTGTTAATAAAGTATATTACAGGTTTATATATAAGATTTAACTTAATAAAATTAGAAGAAATATTAATAAGAATTAGAATAAACTAAGGTTTTTTATTTGTAGATGCAATAAAAGGAAATTGATATCAAAGACATATAATTGTTTATGAAAAAGCAATTTGGTATATTAAATGATGTTAAGAGCAAAAGACTTACAAATAGTATTTTATTTTAACAATGTAAGTATAAAAAAATCCAAAAAGAAATAAGAATTATAAAAGTATTAAAAAATAAATTTATATTACAAGTAGTTTTAATATTAAGAAAACTTAATATAATTTTAATAAACTATGTTTTTAATAAAACTGGTAATAAAATAATTTTATGGTAGTAATTTAAACTACTAAGAAAAGGATAAAGCAAAGGTAAACTGGTTAACTGATTCAAAAAAATTAAAAAAAATTATATTAGAAAATAAGAATAATAAACATTTAAACCTAAAGTATATATTATTTAATAAAAACCCAAAAGTATTACAAATATTTTTTAATAATTGTTTAAGAGATAACAAAAAAAAAAAGTAAATAGTTTTAAAGTTATCAAAAAGAAAAAATATTAAAAATTTAATAATTAAAAAAATAGTTACAAATACATTAAAAAAAATGCTTACAGAAAATTGAAAAATAAAAGTAAATAAATCTAAAATAAGTTAAGTTCTTAAAAAATATAAAAAATGTAGTCTTAATTATATAAGAAAACAGAAAAGTTATAAGAAATAGAATAATAAAAAAGAAATTTAAAATCTTTTATTAATATTTGTCAAAAAAAAAGTATTATCTTTTTAAACCTGATCAAAAAATGATAAATAATTGCATAAAGAAAATAAAAGTAGATTAGATAAATATAAAACTAAAGTTAAAGATATATTATATAATGATTTGAATATAAATTTAATTAAAATCACTATTAATATTAAAAAAATAAATAAATTTAATTAAAAAGTAGCAATTAAATTAAGATAAAAAAAATTTTTTTTTTTTTACTAAGGCTGTTGGTTATTGGTAACTACTACCTTTATTGTGATTTTAATTATAATTATATAACTTGTACAAGATAAGTGTGCAACTAGTCATACATACAGCTTTTGCTTATTTATTTAAGTAGTTTATTTGCATATTCTATATTAGCTGCTATATCTGATTAAATACTTTGATCTTTATATTATATCTAACAGATAGCATATAAGTTTTTGTACATTTAAGTGTTGTTTAACCTAACTTTGACCTCTCTGTCTGTACATCTATCAAGCTATTACATATTTCAAAGTATATTATTTAATTATAAAGCTTCAAAAGTCTCTTCTGCTAACTATCTATCTATTTTTAGTCTTTGTTAACAGAGCTCATCTTTGCAAAGTTCACTTAGAACTTAGTATAATTTTATAGCATATCTTTAGTATTTATAATATATTTTTGCTTTTAACACCAAACTTTTAATCCAAATAGCCCAAAAGAATTGTAATCTGTTACTAGTATCTTAGGATTTTATCTTTCAGGATTTTTTCCTTTGATTTAAGACTTCAAGCAACCTGGTTAATGATATCTCTTATTAAAAGTTCTTGTCCATCTAATTTCTTTAGATTGGTATCTGTTTTCTAGGTTTAGTCTTTATAGTAGTACTGTTAAAGATCTGTACTATCTTTTTATTTAGATTTTTTTTAAATAAATTCTTGTTTTCTAATTTCAACAAATTTACACAGCTATAAGGACTTATTTAGTATTTGTACTACCTGATGTCAGTTTACATTTCTTTATATAACCTGTTATACAAATGTCTTATAACTTGCCAGTTATACTAGTGCAACTGTTATTACAAATATCTTAACTCAATCATTAAAAACAATTGTTATAATATAAATATTATATAGATGATTATCTAAATTTTTATTGTCAATAGAATTTGAACATCTAATCTACTACTTGAGAAGTTGATAACTTATCTAGTTTACTAAGTTATTATATCTATATTACAGAATTTTTTATTTTCAAAAATCAGAAATTAATCAAAAATAAATAAGAAGTTTATTTTTTATACAAATAATTTACTTAAAAAGTCAATAACAAAAATTGTCTTAGATAATAATTATATAGAAGCAGCTTAGATATAAGTCAATACAAAAAAGAAGTATTTTAAATAAAAATACAATAGGTATTTAAAATTAAATCTTATTAACAAAATCAAAATTGTTAATTATTTAACTTATGTTTTTAATAATATCAAAAAAAGAAATGTTAGAATTTATACAAATAATGTAATAATAATATTAAGTTTTAATAAATAAAAAAATTAAAAATAAGTAAATAATAAATTAAAGAAAAAAATTATAATTTAAAAAGAAATATAATAGAGCAATTTGAGTTAAAAAAGTTAAAATTAAATTTAATTAAGATAAAAAGAACATAGTAATAATAAATAGAATAATATAAATTAGAGGTCTGCAAATTGCTTATTTTTGAGATCCAGATCAGTTTGTATTTAAAGTTAAAATTTTTTTGCTAGTCTAGTCTGTTCTACATTTAAAATTAAAATTTTTTTGTCAGTTTAGTCTGGTCTATAATTCTAAAATTTTGCAAATTTTTTGATCTAATCTAGTTTGCAATTATAAAATTTTTCTTTAGGTCTAGCTTAGTTTACAAAATTTATGAACTAAGCTAAGCTAGTCTAGGCTACAAAACTCAATGCAATCCTCTAACATAGATAATTATAATAACTGTTTTTAATAATTAAGTTAAGTTATCTGTAATTATAGTTATATTAGCATGACTAACAAGTTATAGAACATTTGTGTAATTAGTTATATAGAAAAATACAAATTAGTTCAAATAGTACAAACTTAAAATAAGTTTTTGTAATTGTATAAATTTATAAAAATTAGTAAATAAGAAGCCTATTTGAAAAAACTCAAACAAAGAAATAATACAAATCTTTAATAATATTACTATAATAATAGTCTTAAGAAACAGATACTAATATAAAAAAACTGAATAAATAAGAATTTTAGATAAGAATATTACCAACCAGACTGCCAGAATCAAATAAAAAAAAAAAATATTAGGCTGATTTAATATATTAATAAACTGATCATAGTTCTACTAGACTATCTAAATTGAAAGTTTGAAAACAAAAGCAAAATATACTAAAATAATTTAAATATGCTATAAAGCAATACTAAAATTTAGACAAATTCTGTAAAAGCACAATGATTTAATAGCTTAATTACAAATATTGATTTAGTTATAATAATACTAGATTAGCTATAAAATAAGTATACAAAAAACTTTAGAAAGTTTATTTTAAAAATAAAATTGTTTTAAAGTTAAAACAAAGATCTGAGCATAAACTAGTAAAGTTAGCATAAATTGTAAATTTAGAGTATTTAAAATAAAATACTTAAGCAAATATATTAAATACAACAATTAATAAAAAATCTTTAGACTAACTTCTTAAATAGGTAATATAGAAAAGTTACATGTTACTCATATTTCCAAATCTTCTGTTATTTTACTGTTATTTTTCTATTATACTGCTGTTATGTTGCCATTATTTGGCAAATATAAGATAAAATAATAGCAGATTTTTTTTTGTTATTTACTTATTATTTAGCTTTTATTTATTTATTCAATCTGTGATAAGCACAAAAAGCTCTAAAAAGTTTATTTCAAAGATAAATTAGTCTTAAGATTAAGACAATAACTTGAATATAACTTAGTAATATTAATACAAATTACAAATTTAAAGAATTTAAAATAAAAATTCAATTAAAAATGTTAGATATAATAATTAGTAATGAACTTTTAAGCAAACTTCTTAAATAGATAATATAAAAAAGTTATATATATAGCTAACTATACACTTTTTTTGTAATAGTTTTATATAAAATTATATTATTATAAAAGCATTAATAAAATTAAAGCTAAAAAGATTATCTTAAAAAAAAAGTACTAGCAAATAAAAAAAAATAATAAACAAAATAAAAAAAAATCCAAAAGAAAAAAATCCAAATAAAAAAATACAACTCTCTCCGACGATCACTTGTACCGAATTTCACACCAACAAAAACGGAAAACTTATTGGAGAAAGTAGAAGAG